AGTAGTAGTAGTAGTAGTAGTAGTAGTAGTAGTAGTAGTAGTAGTAGCGGTGATGATGATGCTGATGATTGATGACGACGACGACGACGACGACGATGATGATGATGATGATGATGATGATGATGATGATGATGATGATGATGATGATGATGATGATGATGATGATGATGATGATGATGATGATGATGATGACGACGGGGCCGCTGGTAATAAGGGGAACACTGTGGCAATGACGGCGGCAGTTATGTTGAGACTATTAGAAATTAATGCATGGAATTTGCTCCACCGCCTACGCCCTAAATGAACGCGCTTCATAGTAAAGTATGACCCCTTGTTTCTTCGCTTTGAAAAATCATGAAAAGGTCAACCTCGTTCAGGTACGGAGCTACCCCTACCCACAGCTCTTATATTTAAGCATGCAACTGTACGAGGCGCAGCCAGTAATAAGAATTGGCATCTTGAAACCTTCTTTCGAATTTACTCTGATTTTGATCTGTGAAGCATGACAGCTGCGAGACGGACTGCTGGTAGTGTCGTGTCGAATTCACATCGAGTTCGGAATTGGCTGCCCGTTCGGGTCCGTTTCGAATTGGATTAACCAATCCCAGCACGTGAATTTGCTCTACAGGTCAGGATTCTTGGTCCTACCTAAAATTAATCATGCACCAACATCGAAGGGGTACGATAGTCGAATTACAAGTAGAATTTTATTGCTCTCGGGGATCCAAAAGTTGCCCAAACATATCTAAAGCCGGTGTTTATGTTACCCCTAGTCATTTGTGATAAACCCAAATCAAGCAGACTACAGAGGGCGCCCGGCCTCATGAGCTTCGGCGAGCGAAACGACTGCATAGCTCGTTTTGCGTTTGTACTCAGAAACTAACCGATGCAATGGTGCGGACGGCGATGAACACTGATGGATGAAACGGTTCCCGAACTGGTTGTAATTTCGACTTCTTAGTCAAGCAATCCGTCTACGCAGCAGCGTTGACATGCGATGAAATACGGAATGCGTTGAGCTGGAGAAATCGCAACCAATGACCGCCGCCAATACCGCCCCCACAGTCTCTCTAGCTACGATTTACTGCGCCCTGTAGTGAGTTACATTATGATGGTCTTGTTGGCCCGACATGCCCGCAATATGTGGCAGATGGAGGCTTGAGGTGGCTCCAGGGACACCCCCATCCCTCAATGCTATCCCATGGATGACTACAAATAAGTTAAATGTCAAATTCGGCCATAGCACCTCTCAGTAACTATTCTTGAGTTCTAAATCTTATAAGAGAACTTTAACAGCCGCTGCTAAGCCCTATATAGTGATAAAAACCTAAAGATGAAATTCTGGCGCCAGTTGAGCAAAAAACAGCCAACGAACGGTAGGTAACCAGAACACCAACCAAAACTATTGGTTAATAAGTGACCGCATCAGCTGGGACCAGGTGTACACAAAGAGCAAAGCAAATCAATAACAGAACCACCCGACAGCAAAAAACAGAAACATGTAAACGGAACCGCGGGGGGTATACCGCCAACTGTCGTTGTATCGCCTGCAGAACTACTCATCCCGCATCGTTAGAAGGGCAGCGCCCTTTTCTATCCAATAGGCTGAGTCCCTGCTTTGTGGCAGGGCAATGTCGACGACAAAATTAGTGGAGTGGCCTAGAGAAGATGGACACATGTCAAAGGTTTCAGCAACACACCTCGGTGACAGCATCACAGTTCAGCTGCAGCATAATGACCTAGACGTCTTTCGCAGGATCCGTGAGGTGGAAATTTCAGCGCATCAGAAGAAAAGACTGAACTGCATACAAAATCTACTCCACAAATGCTAGTTTCGGCGTCAATTTTTTCCAGATTGTCAGTAGATTCTGGCGGACTTATCAGGCTCTAATGCATCGGTTAGCCGACCGTGCAGATCAGTACCCTGATTCTGCATATACGAGTCGATCAATCATCGTGTTACAGGCGGCCTTGCCTGGATTTCAGAGGGGATAGGATCGGTGTCAGGGTTAGGTTTAGAAGGGTTATGATTAGGGCTAAAGTAGTAAGGGCTGAGGTTAGGATTAGAGACATGGGGATTGGTGACAGGTCATAAGGTCACCTGTTGTCCCGTGTCTAACCGTATAGTTATGTGAATAATAAAAAAGACACCCAAGATATCTTAAAACAATGTAGACAGTTTTGTGTAAAGAAAAAAGCCACATGCTGTCGACTAAGACATGCTCCACACACTGGACGATTGGCCTAAAATATAACCACTCCCCTTCTCCCTTCGTCCAGTGAACGCGGCAATTCCCACCACTACTGTGAGAACGGTACCAACAGAACAACCTCCCGCTACTGTCATCCCATATTAACGCGAACACTCATAAACTGTGCATTTCCTACGAAAGCCTGTATCGTTTGAGCATTAGTCAAATCGACCTTTTTATCAGATATTGAGTATTACCAATAATAATGAATCTCCATTAAGTTGCCGTATAAATTAACCACGGCTTTATGGCGTTCACTGTCACTAAACAAATAGACTAGGTGAGCATACTCTAACACGTATCATTTTGCGGGGCAGATGGCCAAATATCGGCCAAACCATTGCAGTCCCAGACAAATGAACATGGTCAGTATACCGTCGAGAGTGCCATCTCCGAGGTCGATAACCAACTGCGGACATCTGCCCAATAGAGTAAGTAGCAATGACAGTTCACCCGTTGATTTCGACGATGTCCATCGTGTGCTCCATAGCAAGGTGAAGCAGACACGGTGACTTGCGCGTGAATTTGTTCCAAGTGATAAGCGACTTGCGAAGCACCTACCGCACTCTCTCCCTCTCCCCCCCCCCCACCTGGGCTCAATGTCAAGACAGAGTCAAGAAAACCGAAGGGGGGAGAGAACGCGGGCGGCTGGCAGGACGAGAGCTCGCGCCTAGGTGTACCCCCAACCCCCCTGGTCCGCAAAATTACACTGACCACGGTTTTATGTTACAAGAAGGAAGGAGGACGGCTAGAACCCACCTGGCGCTGTGAGCCTGCACCTGTTTATGGTGCGCATAACTGGCTCCGATCTGGCCACCGTGTTGGTCAAACGCATCGACTGAGTGACCCGTTTTAGGAGCACACACACCTACCCGATGACTGTGCCCGGAGGTAGCCGGCAAGACGTTGCTTGAAGGTTGGGCAAAGTCCACGTGGCGGAATGCGCTGTAAGTCGCGCACTTTTGCGAGAAACTGATCTGACATGTGGATGTAGAATCGAGTCGGGAGGCTGTCTCTGGTCGTCACGTGGGGCTGTTCCACTATCTACCACCGGGGACGCGCCGACTTATCCGCAGCCAGACTGGTAGACGACAGTTTGACCGTTATGTTTGACGATGTCCACCCTGTGCTCCACAGCAGGGTGAGAGCAGAGACGGTGACTTGCGCGTGATGTAGTTTACAGTGGTAGTGGACTTGCACAGCATCTACCGCACCCTCACCTCTCCTCCCACCTGGGCTTAGTGTCTAGAAAACCGGGGGTGGGAGAGGGCGCAGGTGGTTGGCACGGCCAGAGTCGCCTCTGGACATACCACCACACCCCCCCCCCCGGTCCACAACAAACACCTGACCAGGATTTTAAATGACAAAATCAATAGGGAGACGGCAGGGATTCCAATGTGCGCGACGTGAACAGGTAACCGGGTCCGCCACCACACCCCAAAATTCTGCATCTGTTATGAGAGTGCATTCCCGATAACGCTCGACAGAATCCAATGCGGCCCCTCGTGTTGGTCCAGCGCATCTACCGTATGGCCCGTTTTGGGGGAAAGCTCTTTAGCCCAGTCAGTATACAGTGCGTGACCGATCTCATGAAATGTTGGCCGAAATTCTGGAATGCGTTTCTGATTAGGAAGGTTGTTATACTGATTACCATGCAGCACAACCCTATAACATTCCGGGCTCGCCAGGATATCGGCTTTTGAATGCACGTCTTTTTGACCTCCTACAGAAACCACACTGGGTAAAAAATGACTACTTAAGTAGCATGGATTCTTCCTATTGATTTTTGATGGTCTTATATATTCAAATATATTCTATAGAAAAATGCACAAAATATGCCTCCTTTTGCTCATTTGGTAGGAAATCACATTGTCTTCATATTTTGTGTCTGACTAAAGCGTATATTTAGGTTTTAAAAAAGATTCTAATTATGAGATTTTTAAGACCGTGCAATGTCTATGCATGCAAAACCGCACATGTCCGTTTACTAATGCCCCTCATGAAATGTACAACACAGTCCGGATCCATTGAAAAATTTTATGAACTCTATATATATCTTCTTAAAGGACTAGAGAAATATATAATTTTCCTTACGCGGAAAGCATGCACCTTGTAGACTAAAATTGCTAAACGCTGATGAAATGGCAGATCAGGCCAAAAATTATTCGGGAATTGGGAAACTTTTTAACACGTACATACACACTCTATTCGGGCACAAAACATAAAGACAATGTGATTTACTTCCAAATGAGCAAGAGGAAGCCTATTTTTGTGCACGTTTTCCATAAAATATATTTGAATTTCTCATATTGACCCAACTGTGAAAAACTCGGCGCCTCGGTGGGATTCGAACCCACGCAGTAAGGGGGAAGGCTTTAGTACAGCCAACGCTCTAACCACCTGAGCTACGAGGCCCCGCCGGACGACGCGAGTTTTATCACACTTGGGTCAAGTTACCCGCCCAACCTACTGCAATGTCTGGAATCCACCAAATATGATACAGTAAGTTGACTGCCCAAGCAGGATTCCCTAAGTAATTCACCTAGAATCCACCAGATGACTACTGGGCTCATATTTGAATTTATATGACCATCAAAAATCAATAGGAAGAATGCATGCTACTTAAGTAGTCATTTTTTACCCAAAGGGGTTTCTGTAGGAGGTCAAAAAGACGTGCATTCAAAAGTCGACATCCTAACGAGTCCGAAATGTTACAGGGTTATGCTGCATGCTAATCAGTATAAGAACCCCACTTCAATAATCCTTCCCAATCGGAAACGCATTCCAGAATTTTGGCTAACATTTCATGAGATCGGTCACGCACTGTACTACAGACACTTGGTCTTCGGTGAAGTAAGGCTGACGACGGCCGCAAGTGCGCGAAATTCCCCGCGAAGTGAGGGGTTAACAGAAAAGCGTTCAGGTTTTGGGACTCGCCCCAGTGGGAGCAGCAGCAGCAGGCCTATGCCTGCAGATCATTTTTGTCTGATGAGCAATGCTCAGCCGTGGTGGCGAAAGTGCAGACGCCTTACCGGTGGTGGAGAGCACGCCCGCACGTACGGAGGTCTTGTAGAGTGGAGCAATGTACTTCCGTGGGTCCGGCTTGAAGTCCATTTCGGGTTTCATGTGCACAATCGGCAGAGGAACCAGCAATTCGCCCAGTACTGAATCCGCAATAATTTGATTCTCATCGTCCCATCTGCAATGGAAAATGATACATCACGAAGCAGTCCGCGTGGGCATACCAGCACCAGGGATTTCAGAAGACACACAAACATTTTGCAGACATGGTAAAAAAAGCAGATTGGCAGTGTCCATTATTTTGAATCCCAGACTAACAGTTCGGGTGAAAACGATGCGTCAGAAAATCCAACCACTAATCACAAAGCCAGGCTTTGCCGAAAACAGAACTACGAAGATTCCAAAGGATTTACTCCAGGTTCATATACCAGAAAACACACGATGACGGCTGGGAGACCTTTCAAAAACGTCCTTCAGAATTTCAGCCAACATTTCATGAGATCGGTCACTCACTGTATATTTTGTATATAATATAATATTTGAATATGCGGCCAAATAAATGTGATAATTTAATATATAACCCGCGCCTATCGATTGTGCGGTATCGGTTTCTGGCTAGCGGATTTCGGCCCAAATATACAAATCATTTCTCCGACGCATCATAAAGCGATTTTCCCAGAGAATTTGTTCTATGTCCGCGCACTAGTGTAGGGCAAAAATAAAAGGTTCACTGATGCCAATCAGTTTTCCTGAATCGTGCCATAAACAGTATTATATATAATTGTGTAATTATTTACCGTACTAAGAACACAGGTATTAGCTAAAAGCCCAGACACGTGTTTCCCTGATATTCCACCGATGCTTGACGCAGTTGCTAGGAATTCGGCTCATCAGTGGGCCCACCCCCAACTTTCAGCTCAAATATTCCTATCAAAGTTCGGACAGGGCCTTAAAAGGTCTGTCCCGAAAGATTTTCTCCAAGTTCGCGCATTTATTTCCTCGGAGATTAAACAAGACAAGGGGAAACTGGGGTTCATATGTCAGAAAACACATGGAGAAAACTGGGGGACCCACTGATGAATCGAACCCCTCGCAGCTGCGTCAGGCAGCAGCACAAGATCGGCGAAACACGCGTATCTGGACTTTTAGCTAATACTTGGTCAGGGGTCTGGATATGTCGGGCTGATGAGAATGAACAAACCGGAGGCGAACACCCCAATTCCCCCTACTTTTGTCCATAATAAGCCGGAGTTAACAACATTAAACGGCTAACAATTGCCCAAAAGCCCTGTCTTCCCTGTATTACGATTTTAGAAACCTCGGTTGGTCGAACCATTGCGTCTCGCTAAGCTTCTTTACATGCTAGGCAGTTTGTTGCCAACCAACCTTAGATACCCCGCAGTTGCAAGAGTTGCATAGACCGTGCCGGAAAATGTCTGTTCCGAAAGATTTACTCTAAGTCCGCGCATTGATTTTCTGTGGCAGTACACAGGACAAGGGGAAGGCTGGGGGACCCATTGATGAGCCGAACTCCCCCTCGCAGCTGCGACTGGCAGCGCCACAAGACCGGCGAAACGCACGTGTCCGAGCTTTTAGCTAGTGTCTGTGCTGTTATTACGGTAAATAATTCCACAATTGCAGAACTATGATAGAAATACTAAATGACTTACTAAACTGACAACATAGGTACTGGCTAAGGGCCAAAGCTCGCGTGTTTCGCCGATCTGGTGGCGCCAAATAACGCTCATCACTGGCCCTCTCAGCGATCCGCATCTGCTTTCTGGTATATTTACCCCAGTTTCCAAGCCGCCTTGTTTAATTTCCGAGGCAATTAATGCTTGAATATCACCACAGGATTGTTGCGCAGTTGCGGATGTATTTCAGGTCGAATATTCATACATAAATTTTCGAACCGGATCTAGAAGACTTTGTTCTAGGGGATATACTCCAAGGTCGCGCATTAGTTTTCTCGGTAGAACCATGATAGGCGTTAGTGACGACACATAAGACAACGGTAATGAGTCCAGTTACTCAGTCACTCACCGAACTGCCGGAATAAAACGAAGATGTACAGCAACCTACGCAAGAATATCCTAGGGTAGGTTTGTTGGGTTTACAGGAGCAGCAAATGGATTCTCAATACAAAAATATCGATAGTCGTCTGTTACGGGATGCATAAACACCCGGTCTACCCCGACAGATTGACGAGCAGCGAGGCACTGAGGGGGCCTTCGACTCGACGCTACCGATGACTCGTCAGTTAGGTCTCCCCTGTGGACCACCTGCCCCACGCACATTTGTGTTCCCAGTCGCAGTTCTTGGTGTGGCTAGCTGAAGAGGGTACGAATGAGCCAGAAGCAGGTTGCTATTTCCATCGCTCATTCCTCCTTTTCTGTCTACCACCGCCGCCGCCGAACTGAACCTGTCCTTTATGGTTTCGCGTTCGTACTGTTTCGTCTATAAGCAGCACAAGAGTCCTGGCACGGATCCACATCATGTCGTTTTACCCTCGCCAACTTGACACATTTTCATGCCGGCTGATGAGGGATAACCTCTTGTAGGGACCAGAGCGCACAAACCCTGTAGTCCATACACTACGATCCACAGAGGCCTGTCCCAAGTGTAAGCGCAATGTGGGCATTAAGAGTAATGTAAGGCGAAACGGGATGCTGAAACCGCTAATGGGAAAAGTAGCCGACGCTAAAACTGAACATGTAACCTAGTTTACGAGAAATCTGCTGCAAGACTGAAGGGAGCCAGGAGACCCTGAAAAAGACCTAGCTGACGGGACACACGAGGCAGTAATACCCCAAACCCTAACGGTAAACGTAAAAATAACCTCAAAGTTAGCCTAATCCTTAACGTAATTGCAAACGTAACGCTAACCCTAAACTTAACACTAGACCTGACCCTAAACCAACCACAAACCCTAACACTAAGCCTAACCGTAATCCTGACCCGAATCCGTACCCTAACCTTAGCCCTAACCCAAATTCTGACCTTAACCTTAACCGAAACCCGAACCCTAACCCCAACCCTAGCCTGACCGTAACCGCAACCCTACCCAACCACTAACCGCAATATCAACCTCAACTCTAAACGTACATCTAAACCGCAATCCAAACCCTAACTGTAACCGGAACCCTTAGACTTAACGCAAACTCAAAACCTAAATTCAAAATTGTTGGTGCGCAGAGGCTAAAAACAAACATAGGTCGAATCTTATTTCGTAGCCGTACCTGCTGCGTACAGGTTCCAGCCTAACCTCTAACCCCAACCGCTAACCGTAACCCCTAACCATATCCTCTATCCCCTAATCCCAAACCAAAACCCCAACCCCTGTCCTTAACCCCTAACACCCAACCCTAGCCCTACCAGGTACGGCTGCGACATAAGATCTTGCTCAACCATAAGGCATCAAATGATAAGGCCAACAGCCTCATTGTCATGGTAAGAAATGTAATTCATCTTCTATCGGGTCTAATGTAGTTGCTCTGTTCACAACGTCGCAAGGGGATCAAGGAATTTGCTCCGGTAGGGGGGGGGGGGGTGGCCGAAACGCGCATCGCCAGCAAAGAAGAAGGCTTAAAACTGCCAGGTCGTGAAGCGACCGAACCATCGATCTCTGACCAGCTATCGATTAACAAACCCGTCGACTCCTCCCTCCCTTCTACGTAGCGCTGTGACTCCATCAGGGCAGATGAATTATTTACAGGAGACGTGCAGATGAGCGTTTGCCAAGGGAACGGTGTTGAAGGTCAACGCTGCATAATAGGCATCACGTTAATTACCAGCACAGCTGACACGTCGTAGCAATTAATAACCTGAACGCAGCCCCTCAATTAATGAGCACGCCACTCAAGACGACCGCGGTAAACGCAGGAGCTGCTAATTTTAGTAGGTCTTTGACAGCATAGCAACTGCATAAGCGAGGACCGACGGCACCCTTGAATGGCTGCCGTGGCGAGTCTGGTGATGGTTCATTACACTTGTCGCTCGGGCGCTTAATTTGAATGAGCATGTCCCGACAACTGTGGTTGAACACATCGGACCTTAACTAGCCTCCCAACGACATAGCAGGCCCAACCCTGGGGGAGGACTGAATGGATGAGCGCAAGCTACGCACGGACTTTTGTGGCGATTGGGATCTTGCGAGGCTTCAATAGCCACGTACGAGGGCTTGTGAAGATCCTACAAGCGACATTGATTTGGGTGACGTTGACATCCATGCTACGTTTGTTTGGCAACAACCAGGCGCCGAGATATTCGGAATTCTCCGTCATGAGGGGTGTCTTCGCCCAACGAGAGATGCGGCTAGAGTATACTTGATAGTAACGCCATCCATAAATAAACCCTGTTTTAATGACCTGGTACAACCACGTAACTGCATTTTGTAGGTTTTACTAGTCCGACGTCAGGTAGGCAACACCTCCAGTGCGGTCAAGGTCAAATGTTCCACCACAGAAATCCCATGCATAATCACCTAGGGCGTTGGAACACATTCCTGGCGAACGGTTCTACCAGGTGTTCGTAGACAGAACCGCTAATAGTAATAGAGCAGTAATAAATCTTGTTCAAAGCCCTAACTTGTACTGATCAAACTTCTACCTCCGATACTCACTACAAAAACACACAGCGCACAGAAACGAGCCCCACACCACGTAACTGCCTGTGACTGACTGTGAAAATGGCCTTTGCAGCGGTAGTTCCCACACTTTTTCCTGCTTCCCTGAGGACGGACGGGGGGGGATGACCGAGCACCACTAATTTTGGAGCCTGTTTCACGGAAGTTAACCCCCAGTTGAATATTTGTAAACCCTTCTATATCGTCATCTTGGGGAGGTGGAGGAAAAACTCTTTATTTCGGGATTAATCTTTAGCGGCCCGGACAGACAGCCGTAGGCTTTTTGAGCTGATGCTGACATTGTGGCACCGTTAGATAGTTACGAGACATTGTTCGGCTGGCTCGCGGACTGCGGATTCCAAAGGCGGCATTTGTGTCATTTTGCTTCGAGCAACAGAGCAAGACCAGTTCTCGGCCCTCCCAGTCAGACGGTACTTACTGGTTATAATTTTAGCTCATTTGATGCGGTAATTTGAGCGCTTGTCCAGCTGGCGTTCGCTTATCCGATCCTGTCTTTTTCGTCCGTCACAAATGACCTTTAACTCTGCTCAGCCATGAGGCTAGTTCTTGGCTTGATCCAACCGCAAATAGCTTGAAGGAGAGAGAAATACAGTGGGTGGGCTAACTCATGAAATGTCAATCGAAATTGTGAAATGTGTTTTCATTTCGAAAAGATTAATTAAGTAGGGTTGTAAAACTAATCATCCTGCAGTAGAATTCTATAATTATTCAGTTACCTCAGGATACCGGCCTTTGAATGAACTTCTTTCGGGCTGCAGGAAAAAACTGTACTCTGCAAAAAATGACTACTTCAGTAGCATGCATTTTTCTCTTTGATTTTTGATGCCCCTTAGTATGCAATTATACTTCATGGAAAACATGCGCAAAAATATTCATTCTCTAGCTCATTCGGCAGAAAATTACGTCTTCTTTTAATTTTATACTCCAAGGAAGGGTAAAATTTGGTTTTAAAAAAGTTTATAATTGTGCTATTTTTTAATGCCGTGAAACGGGCGTTCATAAAACGTCATGTCTCAGCATTTACTAATGTGGCTTGTAAAGTTAACAATAGGGCTCAAATCCACTGCTGAATTTTATGAACTCCCTATGGTCTCCTCATAATGTCATAGAGAAGTGTATGGCCTTCCGTATGCGGAGAATGTATGGCTTGTAGTTTAAAGACTCGGAATGCAAGTGTAACGGCAGGCCGGGATTCAAAATTATTCAGGAATTGGAAAACTTTTTGAAAACCGAATTATACCTTTCCTTCGAGTATAAAATTGGAAGAAGACGTAATTTTCTACCGAATGAGCTAGAGAATGAATATTTTTGCGCATGTTTTGTACGAAATATAATTGAATTTTTTAGGGCATCGAAAATCAGTGAGAAAAATGCATGCTAATTAAGTGGTCCTTTTTTACAGAGTATAGTTTTTTGCACGCAGCCGTAAAGAAGTTCCTTCGAAAGCCGGCATCCTGAGGTAACTGAATCATTATAGAATTATGCCGTATGATGATTAGTTTTACAACCCCACTTTATTAATCTTTTCGAAACGAAAACGCGCTTCAGAATTTCGGTTAACATTTCATGAGTTAGCCCGCCCACTGTATGGAGTAGGGATCAGGTCGTGTCTGCTTCGACGGTTCGACCGAACGTGGGCGCTAGGACGGTGACTTGCGTGTAGGTTGAAGGCGATTTTGCAGCTAAGCCGCTTCAAACCACAGCAAGAAGCAAGAAGGAAACAGTTGGCACACGGGCCGTTAGACAAGTGCTAGCAGAGATGTGATACCATCAGGCGAAACTCGGATCATCCCATTCACAAAGCAAAAAATAGGTGGTACGTAGTGGTTGTCGAGGCGTCAGCAACAACATAGATTTGTCTGTGGTATTGATAACGCAAATGGCGCGCCGACGTACAACTGTCTTGTCCGCCCAACTCGTATGCGTTACGGATACGGTTGTTTATTTGAATAAAGGACAGGTCGTCCACAAAACATCTTGCAGTTTCTGCGACGCGGTATATGCCTGCATACGCCACCATCAACTGGCGGTAAAACGAAGGGGACACCTACGCGTGTAAGTATACACGAACTGGATGTGGGGGGCAAACATTTGGAGACGAATAGCTCGCAGATCTGGCAGCTGTCGTCAAATCAAGGCTGCGGATGCTGTTCTACATACCAGGAATTAGTTAATAATTGATCGATCTGAGTGCCGTGCAGGAGCTTTTTGAAGGAGAAATGAGCATGAGAAATGCCAACAGCCACGGAACTGATTCCATCACTCGATGCATACTGAAGCAATCTCTGGCCCGCGCCTAAAGCCCTCGCAGGCTTCGCATAGCGACCAGTAACCATGCAGGAACGAGATTAACAATAAAGAAAGTGAGGGCTGGGGTGGCCATTTTAAGTTTATTAACCGTCGTCGACCAACCCTACATGGTCCCAGGTGCGGGCCACCTGAGATCCGAACCCGGACCGGTTGTCCTGTCGGTTGTGATCGGAAATATTGATTACGGTAGATGGGCGCTCACCGATCAGGTTACAAAACGCGACCGTCTCGAGCACAACCGACAGGATAACAGGGCCGTAGCTCAATGAGCAAAGAATCTCAGGTGATGCACACCTGGAGTGGGGCATGACTGACTGACGGCAGCTAAAAAGCCTGTCGGTCTCCCCTTGTACATGTATATATATGACATGGTACCGGCAAAGACAAGGGAGACCGGAATAGCCATTTTCGGCCTCCCTTGTCTTTGTCGGTACCATGTCATTTACACCTACTACTAGTCGCTGTGCGACTGCCTGCGAGGGTTCTAGTATGGGCCCCAAGACACAGCGGAACGAGCACGTTCTGTAACCTGATCGGCGAGCGCCCATCTGTCATTATATATATAAGGACGTCTGCTTAAGGACGTTGATTGCTGATACCAATAACAAGAAACAAATGAGGACTTAGGACAAGAACGTCGGATAAACAGAGAAATTACCTGAAACCATCCATTAACAAGCCGTGGATAAGTACGCCGTCCTTCGGCGTTTCAATTGCTGCATCTGCCGGCAATGTTTCACCAAATTTTACCTCCTTCAGCTGGGCAGCATACTCTGCCTGGTCTCGATATTCAGGATAGACAGTAAAGTCGAAAGACAGGTGGTCAATTGGGAGATCGTACTTTCTGGCGTAATTTTGCAGAATTCCTGTCAGGAAGCCTGAAATAAGAAGAGCAGTATGGCAGAAGGTTGACAGACTTGAAAGTAATGTTGCTATCCCTCATGACAACTGGCAGGTGGACATATCCCCGTTCTACCTGGTTCTGGGACAACAGCTGGTGAAGCTTAACTGGACGGCGGACAACTTTCTTTATGTCATAATACCGCTACGGCTTTGATCTTTTTATGCAAAACAGTCTGTGAGATTGGTGTCCAGTCAGGTTTGAAGGTAGCATCACGGCATGAACCACGACAGCTTACTCGTTAAAAACGGGAGTCTGTTTACTTCGTGGCCAGTCTCTGCTAGATGCCGTTTCAACAAGCATCGCCTGTGGACGCGCCGCAGACACCGTCTTCCTGATCTCCGATGTTTAAGATGACGACGATCAGAGAAAGTTTGCCAAATAACAGCTTGTATTCCACATTGGCCCCTGACAGCATGAAATACGCATAAGGTGCCTCGTCGTCGCACGATTTTTTGTGCCGGAAATTAAAACTTAAGGAAGGCAAAATTTCGAGTTCGAGGTGCATGCATAATTGAAGAAGAGTCGAGCACCGGAACACTTTGTTCATTGTCCTGAGCTTTCAGACTCGTACAGGAGTCCATCGTCAGAGGTAGTAGCAGCAACAGAACAAGCGACAGTTATAAGGCATTTAGGCTAATCATCGACAGACGGCGCAAAACTGGAGGTGACTACGCAGGGCTCTGTACGCCGGCGCCAGATCGATAAACCGATTGACTGAGGTCGCATCCGAGGCCCAGGCTTCAATCAATTCTCGGCCTGTTTTGTTTTCGTGGCCTGGGCCTGGGATGCAACTTTTCCCCCACACGCACTGATAGCTAGTACAGAGGCTTGCTTGAAGATCCATTGGGTTTTATTGTCTTGGCGTGGATTTGCCACGCAGGACAGTCAATTTGAGCGCTCAAATGACTTGCCGCAAAGTCGCCTCCATCGCGCGCAGTGTGCGCCAATCAGATGCCCACCAGCTGATTGTCGGTGCGACCTTCAGGCAGAGTGAACTAGTTGGATATCAGGTGTGGCCTGCGCGTGGTGCGTAGCGGCTATGCCTGGGGCGACACTAGACTCGCAATAATGGAGCTGATTAAGTCGGAAAAGTGTCCCTCATTCATGCTCCAGACGGGTTGGCGGGTGTGGTAAGGAACCTGATTAATGTTTGAGCGCAGCAGACGTTATCGCGGTCTTCTCTCGCGAGACAGGGTCTCCGTTCAACCACATACTAATGAACTACAGAACACACTGGCTGCGATACTGGTCTCAGAGGAAATGTGCACAATAATCAGAGTGGGGGGCTTATAAAAATCAATGTATTCCACCCCCCACCCCCCCCCCCCAGCACTTAGGCGCGAGACCACTTCTAGTACGGGAATAGTGGTAAAAGGGGTTTACGGCCGGAGTTTTTAAAAGAAATGGCCAATACGGTTGAAATTATGTTGTAAGCCAGAAAATCATATTAACATCATATGCTTGTTTCAATGTATCAATCAACAACGAATTCAACCCCACCCAGTCCAACTTGTCAAGAGGAAACCGCATGATCTCATAAGGAGAATACTGTCCGCCGACTCTTGGAAAAGGTCAAGTTACTGGTCCGGAAACGGGGCGGCCAATAGGCTTTTTACAAGGTCGTCATGGCTCCACCCCTACTGAATGAAATTCCAGTAAAATTTGGGACGCACTGCAAGCACACTTCCGGGCTTCAGAATGTAACAGTTTTTCAAGGAATTCGAATTCAAATACCAAGGAGGTGGAAAAAGAGAAGACACGGACTGTTTCAAGACTGGAAAATCTTTCGGCACCAGTTTATTGGGAGTTTTTCCAAACTCGCGGGCTTTCAGCAATGCTTATCGATTAATGCTTGTACGCCGCTACGCGACGAGCCATAAGGCATCCGAGACAGAGCTTAAAGGCAAAGCAGAACGCTACTATTTTGACCTGCAATAAAGTTCGATCGATAAACGTCAATCCCACGTGACTTTCACAGCCAGCAACGCAGAAACCTGAGCCCCAGCCGATAAATCGTGGGGCGCAGCGGCCATCTTGACCTGGAGTCAAACTCCAGACCTTTCCGACCTACGTTTAGAGTGCAGTTGCCTGGCGACGGCAGATATTTCTGGAACAAAATCGGAGAATAACGATTACCGACTGCATTTATTTCCATCGGTGAAAGGTTGATTCAACTTCGGAAAATCCCACGGCCGACCGCACAACGGATCGGAAGAAAAATTCCCCTGACACACAGGAAATGGTGTGTTGCGATTGCATACATTAAGCGCATTCCAATCTCTTATTCACTGGTCGGGCTCTGGCATACTCTAACCTTAACTAACAGGTCGCGAGTTCGAGCCGCGGGCGTTCCACACGTCGGGGTTGGGTATGACTGGCTGACGACGGCTAATAAGCCAGAAATGGCCATTCCAGTCTCCCTTGTCTTTGCTGGCAATATCATTCTAACTATGCCATATTTATTCTAGTGAACACTTGGCAACCCGCAAACGAAATGGATGCTCGTCTCATCCTGTTCCACAGACGACTGTCGGGTAGAACAGTGTCTGATTACAGTTTAGAAAAGAATCTTGCATTCCTGCAAAGCGAAAAACAACTAGTTCACCCTGCGGCAACCCTTATATTCTGAAGCATCATTTGAATGCACCAATCATGTCTTCTTGGTAAAGCAAGGCAATTGGCAGATTCTACAGTGTAAATATTGCCCCCACGGAGGAGGAATAGTTCCTTTGGTTTGCTAACAGATTTTCTGTGTGAGAACCACAACTCAGACAGTTAGCGATTTACGTGGTCTTCACCTCTTGCAAGACGAGTGAGGCCACAACACGCTGGGTAAGGAGCGATTTGAGAAGCGGCGTCAACCAGACTGGGGTGCTCTGACCCATACAACATCTGAAACAAGACCTTGGCTACTTTCTTCACCTGTCCTCACAAACGTGTTTGCACAGTTCAGTATATTTTAGAACAATAACTATTGCCCCCTAAGATCCTATTGGAAAGGAAACAGGCACGTGTTCAATTAAAAATACAGATGCTGCTATATTCTTTTCACTAGCATCCTTTTCGTTTGACCGCTCGCGTCTGAAGTAAATTTTCCTGGTTTTCCTCAGCAGTCGCTTTTCTCAAACAAGTATAAAACCACAAAACGACACCAGTCCTTTCCAACCGTGGTATGGCTTTTTTGCCTACATCGACAAACTGGGTATACCTATTTAAAGTTGCCGTTGTAGGGAGAAAGCCTCTTTAGGGGAGTCCAGATCAGACCTTTATACCAGAAACAGGTATTAAATAGACACTATCAAAAGAGGGTTGCTTTATACGGTTTCCGATAAAAGCCAGCTTAACTCAAATTTCAGCCAATTTGGCAGTTTTTGAGTGAATTTCTGGCATACTTTTGAATGCGAGTTTCTGAAAGATACGTTCATGAAACAAGACGGACAAAACTGAGATAAGGTTATGGTGGCAGGCCAGGCCAAAGTATATTAAATAAGCCCTGCGAGATGAGTACTCACCTTGTGGGAAGAAGAAGCCTGAAATCCAGAAAGACTTGGGCTGTCCGCTGATCATCCAGGTGCGAATGAACTCGCAACGAAGAATCAGGTCTTTCACCCAGCCACTGAGAGGTTTCAGACTGGGATACGCCGAATTCGCCCAGTGCTCAGGGACGGAATTCAGCAGGAACGAGAAGTAGATCATTTCCAGTTGTTCCGACATGACCACGAAACCCTTGACTGCCTTCTGCAGCTGCTCCAGCGACACCTATAAAATAACTATAATTATACACCTACTACAAAATAATAAGTAGAACGTCATGTTGAGTTCAAACGTGACTCGCCTTCATAATCTGTAGAAGTTTGTTGTATCGATCGACCTCCTGCGTAAGCACCGTGGTGAGCGAGTTGATACGGCCTTTGGAGTCGAGCGTGAAGTGGTCGGCTCTGGCTTGCTCAATATCAATCTTCTCAGGTAATCTTGCCAGTATGTCACCAGCCAAGTCAAAGACAATGTCATCGGGTGTTTGGCCCTTCTCCCCACCACCGGATTTTGGCTGAATCTCGAGGATTGTACGAAGCAAAGTTCGAGTTTCTTTTTGCTACAGAAACGTAAACAAATGACGAAAAAAGCAGGTGAGTCACACCATTCAATTACGAACTATAAAGCTAAAGAGTCTGAAGTAACGATCCAGTCATTGTCAGGTGGCTTTCAAACGAGCCGTCCTTCTAACCTGGAAGACGAGATTGGCGTTCTCATGCATAGCAAAGAGCTCAGTCGAGTCCTGAATTGGGAAGGTCTCAACGTATTCGCGACAGTCTGCAAGTTTGGTGACATCTGGAGGATAGAAGATGCCCGATTCGGAAAACTTGAACCCCGGATCCAGGATCTTGGGTGCGAAGAAACGCAAGAGAATGGTTCGCAGACACCGCTGGTCCCAGGCATCCGTGACACGGCCGCCGTAGGTGATCTGCGATTTGAGTAAAAACACAGGAGAAAGTGGAATACGGTATCTGAGATCCTCTTTTTGGAGGAAGAGGCACATAGGTAAACAGTTAAGCAATCTATTGAGAAAGAAAGTTGTCAGGATTTTCAGGCAACTACTGTGAGTGACCGATCTCATGAAATGTTGGCTGAAATTCTGAAATGGGTTTTCGATTAGGAAGGATAACTTGGGCGCGGTCGTAATCCTTATTATCTTGCGGCATAATCTTATAACATGTCGGACTCGGCAGGATGTCAGCTTTTGAATACATTGCTTTTCAATCTTGTGTAGAAACCGTACTCGGTGAAAAATGACTACCTAAGTGGCATACATTTTCCCACTGATTTTCGATGGTCTTGCAAATTCAAATATATCTTATAAAAACCATAAACAAAAATACGCCTTATTTTAGTCAATTAATAGAGAACCACGCCTTCTTCATATTTTATACTCAAAGAAGAAGTATAATTAGGTCTTTAAAAGGTTTTCTAATAGCCGAATAATTTGGAGTCTGATCATTCGGTTAGATGATACTTGGTAGCCCTCCTGGTGCGGAAAACTGCCAGCTACTTGTCCTACGGGACCGGTGGTAATAGGGGCTATACGGGTGGGGCAAATGGGTTGAGGCGTAAATGGCGCTTGTAGTGTATGCCTGGAATTGACGCTCCTGCTAAAGTGAAACCTAATTTAAATAAGGTGAAAACTGCAGGAAGGTTTTGAAAATGAGCACGGTTAATTAGAACGGTATGCGGAATAAATGTATCCTTGCCCCAGATTGGAAAGAATATCAACTGAAGGTGAACTACCAATAGGAAGAAGGCAGTGTGTCTGAAGGTCATTCCGCGGTATGTGCGATAGTACTCTAACCGACAGAATGGACATGAGAACACGAGAGTCAAGCAACGGCACGCAGGACGGCATAACGCAAACGGGGTAAGACTTTAATGCGAAAAATATGTTTGGGCGAAAGAGAAAATCTACAAATAATAGTTTATTGCCACTGTGGCCACATTTAGGATTAAAACTATGGCAGTTGTTGTGTGCTATACGTAAAAGGTGTATTATACAATGCAAATAGGAATTAGCACTCTGTATATAAAGTTCCACTTTGTTGTGCTTGCAGAGCCGGTTGGTGACCGTACTTGTTCAGCTGAAAATGAAGCGCAGCTGACTCAGGGGTAAGCATTAGTACTGTTGACATAACCCATAATGTTAGGTAAATACAGACGTATTGATTGCCGTCCCAGCGCAGTGCCTAAAGGACGGACAAACCCGAAGGAAACCCGTAGCCGAGTGAACTCATTGAAAGCCAATAGATATGTCAGCCCTTTTCATGTCAATAGAGAAGTCATTTCTATTTTAATTGCTGGCCTCCTTTCCTATGCCTGTTCAACTGACTGGGGTACGAGTACGAGTGCAAATGGGATGAGGACGTATTCGCTTAGTAGGTGGACCACCAACCTGGCTAAAACCGGACAAAGCGATTCCGCCCCAGTGCGGGACTGGAAGAAAGGGTGGACTCGATAGGAGAAACCGCAAGCTACTCCCGCAAATGATCGCTAACGGACTAAACTGCAGCCGGCCCTGATCGCAAGGACGGAAAGTAAACATTCCTGGTCTGACTGGCGTATGAGATGCCTTGCTGCTGTAGTCTGAACCCAAGAGATAGTAAGTGCGCGATGCGGTAGGTGAAGTGCGCC